TTAGAACTAGTTTTAATTAGTTCTAGGTTGAACTTTAGATCGGACATTGATTGTTTAGTGATTAGAAACTAGATTTTACAACTAATTTCATCAAAAACACAAGAATTTTCCAAAATTCTTTAAAATTTTCGAAATATAAAAAAAAATTGTTTTTCAAATTATTTTGTTTTGATTGAATTACGTTGTTATGAAAACTATACATATATTGATTTTCAAAACTTTATTTTTCAATAAGTTTTTCAAAAACTTTGCCCATTATGATTGGTTTAGAGAACCTTGAAATATTAAGGACCCAATTGAGTTTTGGGATTGATTATTTTGCATACATATGTTTTTAAAAATTCAGGTTATCTTTCCATTCCGATTATCTTAAACCATGTCTCATAAACGTTCTAGGGCCTCCTCTAGTCGTTCTAGCCAACCTCCAAACTCACCTCCAAATCCTCCACATATCCCACAAATTCCTATTCCTAATCCCGATGATCCAAACATGACCATTCTCAATTCTTGTTTCAATGAACCCGGTCGTAAACAAAATCTCTACTATAGGTTTTGTCAATACTTTGAGTCCTACAAAATCCGGGAAGAACGTATCACATATCTTCAAGCAACGCTAGACATAAATTTTCGTCATCTTCCTACTCTTCATGAGTAGAAGTTTGACAAACTCTTTGAGCTTGAACCGTTTGTCTACCATCAACTTGTTCGTATCTTCTACTCTAATGCTGTTTGCAATAAAAATTGAGAGAAAACCTTAACCATAGAGATCCGATCCTATCTTCTAGGACGATTCTTTCATCTTGACTCGGAATCCATTGCCAAAGCATTTGGATTAGATAATGAAGGGTTAGACAATGAAAAACTTACGGTAGGATCTCAGTATAAGCGAAGGGATAGTGTAAGTGTTCTAGACCTTCATGATCGTTTTCTTCACCTTATGATCTCTTGGTGGTTTTGACCATCCGGAGGCCGTTACTATACTCTTCGAGCCTTAGATCTATTTTGGCTTCATTGTGTCCAAAATAATCACAAAATTAACCTTTCACAGATTATTTTTGCTAAACTTGTCAAAACCGTAAATCTTGTTCCCAATAAGAAATTGTGTTCTTCTTTAGTTTACGGTTGTATTCTTAGTAATCTGTTTAAGAATGATGGGCTTAAAGTAGGCCTTGATGCTTCCTTTCCCCTCAAAAATCAAATCAATCTATTCTCTTTAACTAAATCAGGATGGAAGATCAATGAAGAAACTAGTCTTTGGGTTCGTACCGGTGAGCAACCACATGAAGTTGACGACTCTGACGATGAACCAGAACAACACGAGGAACAAGCACGAGCAGAGGAACAAGCACAACCAGAGGATCAAATGCCTCCATACTTTCGATCCTTTATGGAGACATTCGATTTCCGATATGCTTCCATGGATTCTCGCTTCACTTCCATAGAATCTCATTTATCCACAATGAGATCTCAATAATTGGAAATTCTCCGGGAGATGCGCACAAACAACGCTTCTATGAATGAACGCATTGATGCACTCTCACATGAGATGGCCGCTATGCGAGCTCATTTTCCTCCTCCCGATCCTCCTACGGATGCTTGATTTTGTGTTATGCTTTAGTACTTTGAACTTAAAGCTTATTGTTTCAACATTTTGAATGTTTTTGGATTATTTTTACTTTGGTTGTTGGATATTTGAACTAATTTGATGAATTATGGATGTTTGAACTTATATTTCTATATATTTGGTTTGGTTAAATTTATTCATTATTGCATCATTTACATCAATTATATATATGATCAATTTTGTCATGTCACATTGTTTATGAATATTAATTATGAAACTAATGGCTAACGTTTCTCTTGATTGTGATCTTAGCAGCTTAAGCTATTTATCTATATATAATCAGTTGGCTGAATGATTTCAAAACCTTGTTTAATATCTTTTAAAAGTCTTTTTGATTTAACAAAAAGAGGGAGAAATGTTAAAAGCGTTTTTAAAGAGGAGTAGTGTTAGAGTAAGGGGGAGTAATTTCAAACTTGAAACTTGATTTCAAAATAAAATCTTAAAATTACTAAAATGTTTTGTTATATCAAAAATGGGAGATTGTTGAAAACATTTTGATATTTCGATATAACAAATAAAGTTAAATGAATTTTAAGATTTTCCAAAAAGATTTTCTAAGTATATTCGATATAATTATTCAAATATCAAAATATTACTTCAAATCTTTCAAATGTCATTTTAATCCTTACTCAAGTGTAAAATTAAGTTTTAATCTTAAAATAATTTCAAAACAATTTTACAAAATATTTTGAACCATTTCAAAGCCAAAAATTACAGTTTGTCCAGAGGGAACCGATTCTCCCCCAAGGGGTACCGATTCCCCCTGAATGGTTTGGCTCCAAGAAATTCTAGTATGTTCGGAGGGAACCGATTCCCCTCTGATCAACGGTCGAAATATTTGAATTTTACACTTAGGGAACCGATTCCCTATGAGGGGGAACTGATTCCCCCCACGCTCCAAGCAGAAATATTAATTGTTTTCACACTTAAACGGCTCCAATAACTTCATTAATGATCCCCAACGTTCAGAAGTGATTCAAGGTGTATTTAAACAAGCTTAGAAGTCATTGATCAATAACAAGAAACATCATGCAACTAGAATCAAGAGAGAATCAAAGAGAAAGCATCAAATCTCAAGTTTGAGCATTTCAAGTCTATTTTTCATTCAATATTCATTTTACTTTCAAGAACACTTATTGTGCTCAATTGTATTTATTCTTGAATGTTCTTTCTTTGTTCTAGAATTGTGCAAACATATTTGCCTTGTGAGGTTTTTCTTATAAATTTGCAAATTTGTAATCTTCTCTTTGAGAAAAGAGTGTTCTCAAGAATTGGGGTATAATCTTGAGAGAATTGTAAGGTTATCTCTCTGGTCTCAAAAGAAAGAACAAATTAGTGAATTTGTTGGAAAATCCTTAGTGTGGATAGCTAAGGTAGTGGACGTAGACTTTGGTTGATAAAGTCGAACCACTGTAAATCGCTATGCAATTACTTTCAATTTTCTGCAAAAGCTTCCACCAAAATTTTTATTGCCAATTCACCCCCCTCTTGGCCGATTCTATCGATCGATTAACTCAACACTGTGGCATTTCATCTTTTGGATGAACAAAGGAGAGAAAAGGAGAGAGATGGGGGGCACGACTTGAAATGAAGAAGAAATGAGAGTTTAAAAAAAATTGATTTTTATAGTCGACTCGATCCGACCCGAGACCCGACCCGAGACCCGACCCACGGGTAACACGACCCGCGTGTTTCTGAAATAAGTAGGGTAAATTGTAGTCGTGGTTCTATTTTTTAAAAATCTTCCATTTTACCCCCTAAATTCAATTTGAGCCCCAATTTCCTTTTGAATTTGTACCTTTTATTTTGTTTTCTTTTAATCTAGTCACTTACTATTGTTATTATACACACACACACACACACATATATATATATATATATTAGTTTTTTATTTCTATTATTTTTTTTATTTTTTACTTTTCATTTTTTTATTTTTTTACTTATTAAATATTATATTATATATTTATTTCACGTAACTTTACTTTTTACTATTTCCTATGCCCCTATTTTCCTCTTGTCCTCTCTATCTCTTACCCAATTATTTTCTTTTTTTTCCTCCTTTTTGGTGCATTAATGATAAGTAGGGTAGGTTTTGTTTTTTTTTGTTGTTTTTCCTTCTTTATTATTATTATTATAATTATTATATATATTTTATTATTATTATTATTATTATATATTTTTTCTCTTAACATTTTATTTATATGCATATACATTTTACTTATTCACTTATTTATTTTTTTTATCTTGCATTATATATATATATATATATATATATTGTCATTATTGTCTTTATTTTCTTTATCTTATCTTCTACTTTTTTTTTCTTTCTTTTCTTTTCTTTATTTTATTTTTTTATTTCTTTTGTTTTATTTTATTTATTTTTTTATTTTCCTTATCTTATTCATTTTCACTTTTTTCCTTCTAACATTTTTATATTTTAAGAGTATTTCAACCAATCAAATGTGAGTAATTCGAATCAGGTTTTTAAATTTTCATTTTAATTTTTTGCAATTAAGACAACTGACAAATTAGTTGGTACCGAAAGGGCAGTTCAAGAGTGCTAATCATTCCTTAACTGTAATCGACTCGCGAACTCGACACATTTCTGGTAAAACACAGATCATGTAAGATGGTGTCCGATCTACCTAAATGTTTTTAATTATTCAAGTCGAATCCCAATTTCGGACCCACCCGAAAGATGATTCCGACACTACTAAGCTACATTAGAATGTCTGTATAATTTCAATCTCTCTCAACAACAAATTTTCTGTGTTTTTTTTTTAAATTTAACCGCTCATCTTTGTGATTTGTTCAACTTGATTCATACATTCGACTCGGATTTCATAAACTTTACTTGAAAAAATTTCAAATAAGGTTTGAATGATGAAATCATACTTATAAACTCTACCAACTTGAATTTTTTCTCCTCTACTCGACCGAATGCACATCTCTACTTAATTTCATGGCCTAAGACATGAAACAGATTTTAAGAAGAGAGTGATCAAGTTTCTGCACGAGTTATATATATTGTTCATTTTTAGTTGATTTTGCTATTTTAGGCACTTTATTTTTCTCATTTCGTACCATGGGTGCATCTTTAACCAAGAGATTTCTTGTCATTGAACTGTACTTATGATACCTTCAAATCTATTTGCGCTTGGTTTTGCTTTAGAAAATATTGAATTTCTTCACATTCATTGAATGCCTCATCTCATAGCTACAACTGTGAGGCCTCCCTTCCCTAAACTATAGCAATGCTATGTTACTTTTCGATTTCCGAACTTGTTTTAACTTGATTTGTGTTTATGAGAAATCTACAATTTTGCTCCATGGTTTTGGAAAACCTTACAGAAAAAATCTTCCCAAACACATGCAGCTATGAAGCAACTTGTACGAAGCGGAATCGATATGTTGTCAAGGAGCTAATCACTGGAGGAGTGGCATCATTGTTCTCGGTATAACTTTTTCTAATCGCTTTGTCTGGATTTCTCGTTCGTAATTTACGTTGCTTTTTGTTCGTTACTTAATACTTGATTCTCGACATCCTCGCAGGGATTTGGGTCGTTGTTTTTGCTGCTTTCAGCCGGTGTTTACGTTTGATTTTCATGTTGTTGATGAACCATTTCACAAAGTTTTAGAAATTGTCTGGTTTTCATGCGTTTTTGTTGTTTATCAGACCAGGATAGCCGCCTTTAATAAAATTTTGATATCACTCGAGTGACCTTATCAATACATGTTTGAATTTGTGACTCAAAAGTAAGCTCAGATATACGTATAAATCTCTTATCTGCAAAAGTAAAACAGATTCCAAATGCTATTCAAATGTCCAAATATATTATTCACAAAAAAAAATTTATTCTTTTAAAGAAGATTTAATAGTTAAGGATTAATATATTTTTAGGTGTCTAAATTATATCTCAAATTAACTTTGGTGTCTAAAAAACTTTTCGTTAAAAATAGATGCCTAATGTTTTTTCCTTTTACATTTTTAAGTGGCTATCGTTAAAAAAATGTTAAGTAACACGTGTTATATTTATATTTTTTTTTGTTTTTTAAATAAAATAATGTTTAAAAATACTTTTTTTTAAAATTCCGTCACTTAAAGATTTTTTTTAACGGTAGATATTTAAAAGTGTAACGAAAAAATATTAAGTACTTATTTTTAATAAAAAAAATCTTTAGACACAAAAAGTTAATTTTAAATATAATTTAGGCACCTAAAATTATATTACGCCTTAGAGCATCTCCAACGCTGCGCTGGAGTGAAGATAGAGATGCACTGTAGAAGCTCCAGTGCTGCGCTAAATGCATCTCCACTTTGAAGATCTCTGGGTTTGCAACGCTACATGTAGCATGCTACTGTAGCAATGCTACAAAAATCTGTTTTTTTTTATTTTTGATTAAATTATAAGATAGATAAAAATACATTGAAATTAGATAAATAATCATACTAATTTTTTTTGTAATTTTTCTGATTTTTTATATTTTTTCTGATTTTTTAAAATTTACAAAATTAATATTATAAAAGTTAAATATTGTGAATAAAGTAGAGTTAATGGAAATATAGAGATAGCGCTGGAGATGAATTATTGTTTAATCTCTAGAGTAGAGATGCTATAAAATAGAGATGAGGGCTAGAGATGACCTTATAAGAATGGATAAAAAATGTGTTATAGAGCGGCCAAAATCATATATCATTTTTATATAAAAAGTTGAAGATAAACCAATTAATATTTTAGGTGTCCGGACCGCCACCGACGTTAATTTTCCCATTAAATAGCACGTGTCACAATCCAGTGATTTTGAAATTTATTTTATTAAAAATATTATAATATTTATAAAAAAAACTAACTTTTCTTATATTATAAAACAACCCAAAAACTCAAATCCTAACCTTAATATGTTGTCGTCACCCTTTCTAGCTAGATCACTACCGTCGACGTAGTCCCTAGTCATACGCCGTCATTTTTGCCGTAGATTGACAGTCGAAATCGTATAGGATCACGATTTTCATCCTAGGGTTCGCTAGGTATAAAATGTCGATTCATCGTCGATCGGTCACGATTTTATTGGGGGGGGGGTTTGGTCGCCAGGGGAGGTAAGGTCGGGTGGAGCTTCGTCGATGGCAAAGGACGGCGGTCGGCTTGGGTTTTTGATTCATTCACAATCTCATATTAAAATCTCTGTAAGACTTGTTTTTGATTCACAGTGATTGGTTTCCCCTTCACCCTTGCGTTTTGAAATTTCAGGTTATTACTGGATATCTTCTTGCAGGATCTATTATTGGGCCCGGTGGTTTTAGCTTTGTTGGTGAAATGGTGCAAGTATGTTGCTTTTGCTTCAATGTTATCTGGGAGTTTATCTTTAGCTTCAGTAAAGTCATTGTTCTAATATCTCTAGTTTTATATATTGGTGGGCTAGATATCAAGACAAATGTTCTTGTGTGTACATGATTCAGGTTGAAACAGTGGCTCAATTTGGTGTAATATTTCTTCTTTTTGCTTTAGACTCGGAGTAACAACAAAGGTTTTCTCATTGCCTTTCCCTTTCCTATTATGTTCGTTCCTATATTCAATAATATTAACCTTGTAACGCTTCTTGCAGCTTCGTGTTGTTCCAGCAGTTGCTATCCTTGGAGGCCTTCTCCAAATTTTTCTATTCATGTGTTTGTGTGGTATAACAGTCGCGGTATGTCTATCAATTTTAGAAGTATTTAATGTAATGTATGGTTATGTGGTATATAAAGTCTTTATCAACCTTTGCCTTTCTTTAATTATGAGTCTATCTACATGAGGTTTATATTTACCCAACAAAACCGAGCTTTTTTTAAATATATTCTTGAGAGGCAATTCAGCTGCAGAATATTTCTTGTTGAACCCATGGCGACTAGTATACGTAAGTACATGCATACATATATGCATGGCGTTTGCTTCAACAAACTGAGACATGAACAGGGCTCTGATATAAAAATATATATTTCTCAGTCCATCAAAACCTAGGTCCTCAGGACTATTGTAGGTAGTCAGAAATGAATCATGAGTGCATGTTGAACCCAGAGAGATTAGTTTACATGCATACATGAACATTTGCCTCAGTAAACTGAGACAAGTACAGGGCACTGATATTGGTTTCTGAATAGAAGATAGAGAGCAGCAGTAATATTCTTTATTGAATTGATACCTCCAAATTATGTACATCGTTTATAAATCTAATCCTGAAATACTTTATTACCCCATATGCAAGCTCCACCTCTTGCAAAATTTATCTGGTGGGGGAATGGAACCTATAGAAGCCCTAATTTTCCAGCTTAAATGAATTTAATTGTACAGGTTAGATGGCCCGGTTTGGTCAATTATAACATGAGAATTATAAAGGTGAAGCAAAGCTCCTTGCTGGAGAATACAAGAAACAACGAGATCGAATATTATTCATTATCATGTATGGAGAGATGATGTTTGGGTATTTCTTTTATTTGTTACCACTTCTATCGCAGCTTCATCATGGGATGGAACTCTCAGGCTTGATTTCATCATGTCATAAACTGTAAAACCAATTGCCACAGATGGTACAACCTGCAGAAGACAAAATTATCAATAAAAAGCTTGCAAACAGAAGGTAAACTTATTCTAACTCTTCATTTTTCTTCAACTATTTGTATCTAACATTCATGTTCTGAATATGGGTATGAGAATACAACCTTCAAGAACTCGTCAAATACACAAAAAACTCAGTAAAAATGAACATATCCATGTTGGACGCATACCCGTATCCAACACACATAAGTCCGAGAACATAGATGGGAAAGGGAATTTTCCTACCTTGAGGTAGTTGATGCTCAGCCCTGAAAATAATTGCTTCCACCCTTGATTTTTAGCAATCATAACAAGTGTTTCCGTTGTTCCTTTCAACTCAGGACTGTTGGACGCCAGGAGCCTTTGAACCTAACGACCAACAATTCTCAATATTATTACATTAAAATTCCAGGTTTGATCACTTCTCATTATGAATTTGGATTCAAAAGAGTTTAAATACCTGCATTTGCCTTCTCACAACATCAAGAGGATATGTGAAAGTTTGCCCCAACAACCCAGCCACAGATCCACACACTAAATTCACCATTATATTTTTCTTCTGATCATCCGGGACATGACGTTTCATCTCCTCATAAAAGTAAAACTTCAACCCCGCATAAGGAAAGATCCCATAAAGTGACGGCGCTGAGAAAAGAATCCCACGTATTAGTACGAAAATCCCAAAAAGAATCGAACCACCAAAACACGAGTTAAAATGCAGCATCACAAGTGTCGGAAATAGTACCAACACCACGATAGAGACCTCTGAGCCCTGACCCTTTGTAAGTCTTTGAAAAACAATCAAGAATTCCATTATAAACTTGTTCTGCGTTAACTACACCTTTCACATTAATCTTTGGTGGACCAACAACCTGCATTAACCAGTATAACAAGATCAGAGAAACAGAAAGATCTCAGATTATGTAGCACAGAGGAAAGATGCTGAATTACACCAGCTTTATGTTCAACTGCTTACCTGATAAGCTAACTTAGTCCGAACCAAATCGAGAGGATAAGTAAAAAGCACAGCAGTTCCACCAGCAAATGATCCAGCCACAAGATCAAGCACAGGGCCTCTTGTGATGTCGGGAAAATTATCAATGATCCATCTTCGGTATTGTTCATAGGCCATGTAATGAAGTGCGGCGTAGGGAACTATTCGAGCGACACTAGCACCATTTCCTCTACAGACATCCACCATAAACTAAGTAAGCAACTGAAGTTAAGTAACTTTCAGAACCAACTCTATGTTAAAGTATAATGATTTGGATATTACCCACCTGTAAAAACCCATTACTCCTTCGGTCTTCGCAATCTTTTTGAATGATCCAAAAAGTCCTACGCTGTGAAATTCTGCTCTTCTTGTCTGAAACAGATTACTGAATCAGTTCCCTTTTGCGATTGCAAGTTCAACCTTCGCAAATTCAAGCCATTCCCAAATATTGTAAAGGGTCAAAATACCAATATTGATAGAGTTTCAAACGTTAAATCTACTCATTTTCATCAGCAATTGATGTTCAAGATTATCAGGAAAAAAAGATCATTTTTGCTAAACTCAAATGATCTTTCACCAGCAGAACTTCATCGAATTTATAGTTCAAAACAAGTCAATTTAACCTTGATAAACAACCGTGGATGCAAACCCATCAGGGAAAATGAATCAAAAAACAAAACTCGTAGCCGAGAACCAAGAAATCAACTAATCAAGTTAAGTATCAAAGTTTACCTGAAACAAAATCTTGACACGCTCAAGTGGAGCAACGACGGTCTTTGCGAGCCCTCCAGCAACGCCGCCAGCAACCAATTCCTTTGCAAACAAAGGCATGGATTCTATGATCCCATCAAAGAACATACCCATCTCTCTTTCTTCTCCCTTCTTTTCCATTTCAGCATACACCTTCAAGAACCGGAAATATGGAGAGAAAATACAGGGATTTCTCGCACAAAGAACAGTATTTTAGGGGAACAAATACCAGAATAAAAACAGAACAGACGAACTTCTGTCTGTTGGGGTCAGATTGGGTCGGAATATTAGGCGGTTATTACATGTTTGGGACAACTTACGAGTCCGAGTTGAACACGCGTTCTTCCATGGTAGATTCTTGTAAGAGACGAGAAAGAAAAGGTTAATTTGTTGACGAGTTTAGTGGACCTGAACTCAATTCTATTATATATCCAATTTTTGATCAAGAATCTTCTAATCTAGGCCGTTCGATCACTGACTTTTTCTTTTATACTCTAAGAATTTCCATTTTTCTTAAGTGTCTCGACTCTCGATATCAAATAAATTCTCGGGATCCAAACAAAATTTGGGTGAAGACTGTGTCGTGGGAATATTGAATACTCGAAAGAAACCGTTCAAAGTTGGCTCCTGCACGCCGCATCTGCAGTCGTTGTACTCTACGAATCATCCACACTATTATATTGGTGAAACTCAAATAGGATGAACGGTAGGCATTGGAGAATTAAGCTGGAATTTATGTTTGTCGGAACCGACTTTCGGTTGGGTCTGAAAATTGAGATTCGACTTGGAAAAATGAATTAGGAGTCGCTACCGATCACTTTAAAACGAATTTAGGTGGGTCGGACACCATCTTACCTGATCTGTGTTGTATCAGAAATGTGTCGGGTTCTGGAGTCGGTTACGGTCAATGAAGGATTAGCACCCTTGAACCGCCCTTTTGGTACCAATTAATTTTCCGGTTGTCTTTAATTGCAAAAGTTTAAATTTAAATTTAAATTCAAAAATTCAATCCGAATTAATTATCTTTGATCGATTGAAAGTATCCTTAAAAAGTCAAAAATGTTGGATTGTTAAAACAAAAATAAACATGAGAAAAGAATAATAAAAATATTAATATAATAATATTAATAAAAAATGAAAAAATAAATAAATATATATATATATATAACAATGTAAAAATAAATAAAAAATATTAAAATTAGGAGAAAATGAAAAATATATATAGAGAAAATGAAAAATATATATAAAGTAAATAAATAAAAAATGAAATAAAAAGAATAAGTCAAAAGTTGTTACATCTCCCATGTTTTGCGTGTAGAGAGACTGGACTTGCAATGAAAATATTTTGCCACTCCTCGTGCTTTTAGATACTGGCTTTGGATCCTCCACGCTTATTTTTTGTCCTTTCCTTCCCTTAGTTTTTCCTAATCGTTGCCCCTTCCTCTGATTTTGGTTCTACGTTTTTCTCTCTCGCTTCCAATCTTCTGAGATCCAGATAAGATTCAAGTGCTTTAGCTGGAACTGTAATTCCTCTTTGATCGAACTACTTCCATTTCTTCTTTCTTTTTCTGTGAGCAGCTCGGATGATTAAGCTTACGAACGGCGTTTTCGTTATTTCCCCTTTGATTTCTCTGTGTTTTTCCCCGAATACTATGTATAATTCTCATCTTTTTTCTTGTGTATTTCCATGAATATTTATAGCGCTAGATTTCAATCCAGTTTTAGACTCCCATTAGGACTGAAATTACTGAATTGGTTGTTCTTCTGTTTGAGTGGGTACCGAGAATTTCGGTTTGTTGGAAACGGCCAGATCGGGCGAGGAGTCTTCGAAGGAAGGAGTTGCGGCTGAAATGACACCTAATTATTTCGGGTCAGACTTCAATGGACTCGGGTCTCGGGTCAGGCTCCGGATCCGGGGTCTGTAGGGCTCCACTTGTACTTGGGCTGCTGGATTTGAATGTGTAACACTTGTATTTGGGTTTTGGCCTTATTCTATAAATGAATGAAAAAATAAATTAATATGTATACATAATAATAAAATACATGTTATATAATTATAGTATATAATATAGTATGTATATATTATATAACATAATACATATACATTATATACCATAATTAATAACACATTGACTATATGTTATAAATTAATATAAATTAATATATAAAAGTCGGACGAAAATGTGTGTCGACAGTTGCTCCTCTTTATCCTTTTTTGTGGAACAAAAACTAGGACAAAGATAAAATGACACAAATTTTCGTTCGGTGGAGTTGAAAAATTGACTCTGGTATAAGAATAACTCCCTGTCGAATTAAGCTACGGACGACCCCTCTGTCGTGAAGTCGAGTTCATCCTGAAATGATATGGAATTAAAGCAGTAGTTCAAAATTTGAATTGGGTTGTGGCTTCTCGTTACCAAATTGTAGTCAACCACGGTCTTCTTCTTGGTTTAAAGACTTTGGTTTAAAAACTCGACTGAGAAATATTTTCTTGACTCCACCATGTTGTTGATAGGCCCTCGAGCTGAATAAAATCTAACTCGAAAGGTTTTCGTTGACAGATAACTTTTCTCGACTTAAGCTATACTGTCGGAAAATGGTTTTCTTGTCACTGAGGCACGGTTAACCCGGGTCTTCTTCTCGACTTGAAAACCTCGATTACAGCCGGACAGTAAAGTGATTGAGGTGTCATCGAGCTGAATGGAATCGAACTCGATGATTTTGTTGACAGATAGCCCTTCTTGTCTAAGTGTAATCGAACTTGAAGGTCTTCAGTTAACATATAGCCCTTCTCGACTTAAGTTATTTTACAAATGATGCACCTTGGAGCTGAGCGAAATCGAACTCAAAGGTCTTTTGTGACAGATAACCCTTCTAGCCTTGAGTTATGCTGTAAATGATGTGCCCTCGAAGCTGAGCGTAATTGAACTCAAGGGTCTTTGGCAGATAGCCCTTCTTGGCTTAAGCTATTCTGCAAATGATGTGTCTTGGAGCTGAGCGTAGTCGAACTCGAAGGTCTTTGGTGACAGATAACCCTTCTAGCCTTGAGTTATGCTGTAAATGATGTGCCCTCGAAGCTGAGCGTAGTCGAACTCGAAGGTCTTTTGGTGACAGATAACCCTTATAGCCTTGAGTTATACTGTAAATGATGTGCTCCCGAAGCTGAGCGTAATCGAACTCGAAGGTCTTTGGCAGATAGACCTTCTCGACTTAAGTTATTCTGCAAATGATGTGCCTTGGAGCTGAGCGTAGTCGAACTCAAAGGTCTTTTGGTCACATATAACCCTTCTAGCCTTGAGTTATGTTGTAAATGATGTGCCCTCAAAGTTGAGCGTAATCGAACTCGAGGGTCTTTAGCAGATAGCCCTTCTCGACTTAAGTTATTCTGCAAATTATATGCCTTGGAGCTGAGCGTAGTCGAACTCAAAGGTCTTTTGGTCACAGATAACCCTTCTAGCCTTGAGTTATGCTGTAAATGATGTACCCTCGAAGCTGAGTATAATCAAACCCGAGGTTTTTGGCAGATAGTCCTTCTCGACTTAAGCTATTCTGCAAATGATGCGCCTTTAGAGTTGAGCTTAGTCAAACTCGAAGGTCTTTGGTGACAGATAACCCTTCTAGCCTTAAGTTATGCTGTAAATGATGTGCCCTCGAAGCTGAGCGTAATCGAGCTCGAGGGTCTTTGGATGATAGCTTTTCTCGACTTAAGCTATTCTGCAAATGATGCGCCTTTGGAGCTGAGCGTAGTCGAACTCAAAGGTCTTTTGGTCACAGATAACCCTTCTAGCCTTGAGTTATGTTGTAAATGATGTGCCCTCGAAGCTGAGTGTAATCAAACTCAAGGGTCTTTAGCAGATAACCCTTCTCGACTTAAGTTATTCTGCAAATGATATGCCTTGGAGCTGAGCGTAGTCAAACTCAAAGGTCTTTTGGTCACAGATAACCATTCTAGCCTTGAGTTATGCTGTAAATGTTGTCTTTTAAAAAAATGGCTTCCCTTCACAGGTCTAAGCCGGTCATAGTTCTTCAGGTGGTTCTTCTTAGCGGGTCTGAACCAAGTGAAATAATCTTTGAATTACTCCCTTTTACAGGAAAGTCCACTGATAACTTCTGACAGTTGGATATCTTCTGTTGTGGAATTGAAATCTGACTTGAAGACATTAACTGGAAATATGTTGTTCATTGTTGAGTTGAGCTGAACTGGATTTGTTCTGAATTGGTTCTCGAGCCTATCTGAAATTGACTATGATATCTGTAGATTTTTCTAGTCGGTTGAGGTGTAGCTTCTCACTGTTGAGTTAAGCAACCACCATCATTCTTTAAAAGCGCTTACGGATCGAGTATCATTCATCCTGAAGTCGAAACTTGACTCATAAAGCTGCAAGAATCTTGTATGCTAAAATGATGAATGTGATGCACCTAGGTATGTCTAAGATGCATGCACCATGAATGAATTATGTTTTATCTCTTGGACTGGAGTACCATGTTTTATCTGCCAATCTGGTCTATGGAATCGATCGTGCCCCATCCTTTTTCAAGCTTGGGCTTTACAGACCCTTCATATCTGAGACTGTTCTGTGTGAAAATGTTTTTTTCGCCTTTTTCTTGTTTTAGGAGGGAAAAACTGTTGTAAAATATTGTTCGCAATTGAATCAAATTGTAAACGTGAGTTCAAAGAATATCAAAGGAATCAAGAGCTCTTTTAATGCTTTTAGAGTTACAACTCTTTGACAAATGTTCAAATGGATGAGTTGGCTTTAGGTTGACATCTTTTCTAAGGTTTCGGTAACCCAAAATGTCATTTTTTTTAAATATCGCAATATGCTTTGGTATTTCAATTGGGTGCGGACAAAATGACGTAACTAGCATGATCAATTACTAGTCCTTTTATTTCGGTCCTCTGAAATCTTCCATTTATTCAAGCTTTGTAGGCTCCTCTAACAAAGGCAGTGCAAAAAATATCGGTCTAAAAATGTAATTCTTGAGTGCTCGTGTGTAGTTGACTATAACAAGTGTTCCTTAACTCCCTTAGTCCATCATTACCAAAAATTTCTTCCTTAGATAAATTTGATTTAATTTGCCATTATCTAGCTAGCTGAATCCATAAAGCCAAGGCGTTTAACCAATTGCTTTAGAGGGACAACTTAACATTATAATCAGTTTTATCAAGTTCACTGAAGGGTTCATCTCATCACAGTGTCTTCGACCGGACAATAGTAGTGGAGCAAACACCGAATTACCAAGTGTTTGAGCAATGTCATGGTTTGAACGTAATCTACTCATAAGGCCAGGGCTTTCAAGTTTCATCTATAACCAATTGCCTTAGTGGAATAGCTCAGCTTTACGGATTTAATTTCTTAAGTTTGTCAAGAAGAACCTGTCATAGTCTAGGTTTTGTTAAAAGTCAGGGAATCTCATTTTTAGAGTTCAATTTCCAAGAAACTGACTTAAACTAGATTTACTTACTCGACTATTCCATTTGTGAAGATCATTATCATCACTGAACGTCTTAAATAAAAAGTATAGTAATGTCATATGCAAAAGAATGCTCCATGTTGTCCGCACCTTATGAAAGGAAAAGGTTATATTGGTTAATTGCAAGAGTAGGGTACGGTGTTTGAGGGTATATTCTGGGTAAGGTCAAGGTCCTTGTTTTAAATCATGTTACTTTGTCAAAGATCCCTAACTTTGAACCATTTACGGAGTTTCTTAATTCAGTTGATATTCAAAGAATTGTAAGTTTGCAAATGTGATTCATTGCTCGTCATCATCAAAGTAACATAAATTTATTCAAATGTTCTTACAAAAACTTGAGAAAAAATGGAAAAAACACACTCAAACAGAATGCCTCAAATTATGAAATGATCTTCCTCACTTGGATGCCCCCAAGTTGTTGAAGTCGATCTAGTTCTTGTTATGTATTTTTTGTACGATTATCTTGAATGTGGAGTAGTTCTTGATAGTGCGCCCGAGGACACCGCTATGATATTCGCAATGAGCGTTCTCATCATACTACCTGGGGTACGGGGGCTTCATGGATTTCTCTGGATATGGTGACACCACATGTGCGTCAAACAACTGTTGGTAAATCTCCTTATATGTCATAGGATCGAAATGTTCTCATTTTTTATGAGACATGTGAATGTAATAAAAAAGAGAAAAATAATGCAAAATATGCATGAATGCATGATGCATGCAATGTTTGAGACATTGATCCAAAAATGTGTCTATTATTAGAAATAATCCTTATTGGGGACAAAAGTGTTTTATCTTTTAAGAGACAAAAATATATTGACAGTTTCTGATATGTTGATTAGTCTTCTGCATAACCTATCGAACTGCTCCAGCTTTTCTAGATGAACTGTGTAAATGTTGAGTTACTTTTTGTACTGGCCCAAGAAGTCTCGAATGACTGCATCTCTGTCATTTATCTTTTATTGAACCTGTTTCCAACGAATACGTCATTGAAGCCCTCAATTGATAGTAACTATGTGAAGTTCATTTGTCTGTTTCTTGAATTCGTCAGCAATGGTCTCTAATTTCAGCTATCGTTTTGCCATTGTTGTCTTTGGAGGGACTCCCAAGATCAGTAACCTTCATCTTGCCCCTGTAACCTCTGCCGGTCAGTTCTTCAAAGATAGACTTTCATTGTGCTTGATATAGACCCGGTTCATTCTGCGTCCTTTATAATGCAGCAGAGTGATATACTCTCCAATTGTGGGCACCACGTCTTCTGGATTGAATGTGACACAAAGTCGCCTTGTAGAATATCCTCTGTATTTTCATCTTTTGTATTACAACCCCTTTGTCCATTAATGTAGATTATTCATGTTTAACAAACATATTTTTGGTGGATCAACATCTCTTTTAAATGAAGCGAATGATGAAAACAAAATGAAAGAGAATAAAAAATAAGAAGAGTTAGTGAGGTAAATCAAAACAATAATAAAAATGAAAAATCCTACCCCACATGTATCTACCCCATATGCTTATTATTCCTACTCGGACATGATCTCTATCCCGTATGCTAATTTCAAACAAATCCTAACCACATATTTGTCTAGTTCGCATACTTTGAACAGAAAGTAAAGAAGGAAATAACTTAGGCATCCTATGGTTTGAAATGAGGTTTTGGGGTGGGCTCTAATTCCCTACAGTCTCCCAGTTTAGGTTCTAAAAAGGTACTCGAGTTCTCCTTGTTGGTGCCCCTTTGGGCTTGCCAGACCCTTAGTCCTAAGCCCATTACAAGCATATGTAGACTAAGTTAAACTTGAGAGGATACATTCCCTTATGCCCATACGGAGAATAAATTCACACGAAGACATAAGGTATATGAATCTCGAAGGTTACTTGCTAGGCCCATACGGAGAATAAATTCCCACGAATGCGTCGATTTCACCCCCACTTAAAAGGGTTCAGAGCTCGGGTATAGAGATAGAGATGACAATTTTGAAAAAATTGAAATCGTTAAAAAAATGTTAGTACAACTATTTATTTGAAAAAAATAATCAAAGATAAATAATAAGAATCGAATAAATAAATTAAAATTTAAACTTGTAATTTTCGCTAAAAAAGACAACCGAAAATTAATTTCGGCCTGACTCACTTACCTGTCCCCAGCAGAGTCGCCAAGCTGTTAGAACCGTCTTTCGGTTGGGCCCGAAAATTGAGCTTCGACTTGGGAAAATGGATTAGGAGTCGCCACCGACCACTTTAAAACGAATTTAGGTGGGTTGGACACCATCTTACCTGATCTGCGTTGTATCAGAAATGTGTCGGGTTCGGGAGTCAGTTGCGGCCAAGGAAGGATTAGCACCCTTGAACCGCCCTTTCGGTACAATTATTTTTCCGGTTGTCTTTATTTGTGAAAATTGAAATTGAAATTCAAAAATTCAATCCGAATTAATTACCTTTGATCGATTGAAAGTATCTCTAAAAAGTTAAAAGTATTTGATTGTAAAAACGAAAATAAACATGATAAAAGAATAATAAAAAATATTAATATAATAATATTAATGAAAAATGAAAAAATAAATAAATATATATATATATAAAACAATGTAAAAATAAATAAATAAATATTAAAATTAGGAGAAAATAAAATATATATATATAAAGTAAATAAATAAAAAATTAAATAAAAAGAATAAGTCAAAATTTATTACATCTCCCATGTTTTGCGTGTAGAGAAACTAGATTTGCAATGAAAATGCTCTAAATAACTTTTTTAATGAAAATTTTTTAGCGGAGAAATAGAAAAAAACTAACTAAAATTACAATGATAAAATAGGATTAGAAAAAACTAAATAACTCTAATATGTAAAGTGTAAAAATAGTAAAGAAATAAAATTTTCTAATAACAATTATTCATCCCAATTATTTTCGAGATAGATTCTCACATAAGAAAGATAATCAACCTCTTATTAGTGGTAAGTGAAATGGGGATCAAAGAGTGACTCTAGAACTTAAGACTTAAACATGATAAAAAATGATTTGATTAAGGGTCTGTTTGTTTGGCTGTAATTGGTTTTTCGGAAAATGAATTACTGGAATTTGAATTACTGGAACTGGAAAATGAATTACATGAATTTAATTTCTGAAAAATTGATTACATTTCTGGAAAACGTTTTCCGGAAAATGTTTTCCGTAAAATGAATTACATTTTTCTGAAAAACATCTGAAAAACGTTTTATGATGTTTGGAAGATGTTATTTAAACCTTTTTTCCATTAGTTGAAGAGTTTTAAAAAAATATTTATTACAAATATTAAATATAAAAAATAATCTTATTTATCATAAAACTTAATATTATTATTTTAAAATATTAAAATAATTTATTTATTATTAAATATTATTTTTATAATTTTATTAATAAAAATAATTTTTATATTTTAGTGAATAAATATTATAAATTATATTAATTATTATTAAAGTAAGTGTTTATATTATATTTAAAAATATTAATTATTATATTTTAAATATATTTATTAAAATATTATTTAAATATATAAATAATATTATTCATTATTAAATACATAAAGATTTTTATTATATATTATTAAAATAAAAATATAATATCTTATATTATTATAATATAATTGATTATTTTATATAATATTAAAAATATATTATATTATTATAAATATTAAAATAATAAATAGTATTTTGATGAAAATGATATTAAAATATTTTATTATTATTAAATTCATAAAATAAAATTATTTTAAGTATTTATTATTTGAAGTGAAACATTCGGAAAATGACTTACGGAAAATGAATCTGTAAGTCATTTTACAGAAAACACAAATGAAATTCTGTTACTAGGAAAATGAATTACATTCCGGAAAATCAATTACATGAAACAAACACGGGAAAACATTTTCCGGAAAATGAATTACGTGAAACAAATACGGGAAAATATTTTCCGAAAAACAAATTACGTGAAATAAACACGAGAATTCAAAAAAAACAATTCCGTAATTCCAATTACAGCAAACAAACACACTCTAAAACTCAATGACCAGTGGTGTACTTTATCCAATATTATATAGGTGCCAACGGAGCTCCCAATTGTTTAGGAGGGGTGTTGAAGTAATTTCGAACGCTCACTTGAAAGGAACTATTTTTTCGAAACCGTGTAACACAATGGAAAGAAGAAGAAAAGGCCTATCATATGGGACAACCGAACGGCGATAGAATGGTGCCCAGTGCAGTGCGTTTCCTAAAAACATTTCCCGTCGTCATTCTCTTCCTCGCAGTCTCGGCCGCGTCTGCTACCAATAATGATTCCCAGGTATATTATTATCCTCAAAACCCCATCTCTTTATCTTGTTCCCAATTAATTTGAGAATAATTCCAATGATCACTCCCATTGTTTGATTTTTTTATCATTCATACTCTTAAAAAATTTACACAGATAAAATGTAGCAGATCCTGCGTGGCTGAAAACTGTAACGGTAATCTCCATTTTCTCATTCTCTCCAATCACTTCAATTGCTTTGTTTTGTTTCTCGTGACTTATTACTGAATTAACGCAGCGTTTGGGATCCGATACGGGAAATATTGCGGCGTAGGGTGGTCCGGCTGTCTCGGAGAAAAACCGTGCGACGATCTGGACTCTTGTTGCAAGATTCACGACGAATGCGTTGAGAAAAAAAGTCTAACCATTCTCTCATTCATCATTTTATTTATATTCTACATTCAGTAATTTGCTCGATCATGAATTTCTTCTTCTTGTTAAAGGTGTGATTGACGTAAACTGCCATGAAGATTTCAAGATTTGTATGAAGAAAGTACAAGAATCTGGGAAAGTTGGATTTTCTCGAAAATGTTCAATTGAGACGGCGGTGGATACTATGATGATAGGTATGGATATGGCTATCTTAATGAGCCAGTTGGGCAATATCAAGTATGATGAACTCTAATCTCTCAACTTCAAATTTCATTGATCAGGACTTCTCATTTGTAGGTAGATTGTTTGTTGCAGACTTTATTGAATAATGTTACGGAACAATTTTCTATTTCTTGTTCCAATTTTAATATACGTATGTGGTATTTTTCAATGAACAATAAAACTCTCGTTCTTTCTTTTTTGTCCAAACATCACCATTGGTTCTGATTCCAGTTTACTCTGGTCATTGACTCTTGGTAGGATTAGGCCTAAAATCGACTTGACCTTATATAAATTTATTGAAAACCTTGATTTGTCATTAATTTGATAAATTACTTTTATTTAAGAGAAAATAACTTCAGTGACCGAAAATGCCTTATAATATACGATTTTAACCAATTTTTTTTGGATTTGCGAAAATGACCAACAAATTCGCAACGCGAACTCCAATTTCGCAACTCAGTTTCCAAATTTACAACACGAATATGTAAATCGCAATACGAATCTGTAAATCGTAAATCGAATCTGTAATTCGCAACACATAAGTCAAATTCGCAACACAGAAGTCAAATTCGCAAAGCGATTTCCAAATTCGCAACACTGAATTTCAAATTCGCAACTCGATTTCTGAATTCGCAACGCGAATTTGGAAAATCGCAACTCGATTTTCGAATTCGCAACACGAATTTTAATTTCGCAACACAAATGTTTTGGGTATATAACTACACAGCAGCAGCAACGCATAACCTAAATCCCTAAATCGCAACTCATTCCATCTCCATCTATCACTCTCTCCGGCGACATCCATTCCTATATCCAACGACATCCTTCCCATCTCTAATTTTTTTTACATAATTTTATTTCTATATAATTTTTTAATGATTTCTATCCAAAATTATCAACTATCAACATAATAAATGTATGTTCTTCTCTAAGTTAGTGATGATATGTAGTTTATAGCTCGTTTGTTTAGTAAATTAATTTACAATTTGTAGAATGAAATCATCTAATGTTGATCAAGTTTGGATATATTTGTGTTTTGGAGAGTCATGGGAGAATGTTTATGGTGTTTTACAATATATGCCTTTACCCATGAATCTTCAACTAAAATTATCATTAAAAAAGTTAACTTATGAAACTCTAATGTTACGTGTTGCAAAGAAATTGAATTTAGAGCCTCTAAGTGGATTTAGGCAATCTTATCAGAGAAAAGGTAAAGTTTATTTGTTAACCGACAATGAAGATGTTGAACGATTCATTGCTTACATTAGTGTTTCGCAAGAAGATGATGTTACATTGTATGTTGTTGAACCTAGAAGTAGTGAAGTTGAGTCAGTAGCGGGTAGTAATCAATTAAGTTCTTCAACCCCAGTTTATGGTTCTCACAATGTACAACGTTGTTATCAACCTCAAAATTTAATGGTTCCACCACAATTTTATCACCAAGAAAATTTTGTTTCACCACATTTCCAATATCAAACACAATCTCAAAACCCACAAACTTTTCCTAATCCAAATCTCAATCAACTTTCAGCACCAAATTCCGGTTTTCGTATTGTCCAGTTAGACGATTATGAGCCAACAGAAAATTGTGAGTACTATTCAGTATTCAAAATTTGATCTTGGTCAATACCCGGACTTTGATCTTGGTCAATACTCAGATTTTGATGATGTTTTAGAAGAAAAAACAGACCCTACGTGTAATGATTTTGATATTGGTCAATACCAGAATTTTGATGATGAAACAGCCGCTGCCGATGAAGATGTTGTTGATAATAATGAGTCGGAAGTTATGACTGGGAATGAACATATTGAACATCCATTCTGTAATTCATATAACCCTTGTCGGAATTGTCTTTTGGTGAGCCCCATAATTGGGTTTCGACTTAAAAATGTGGATTGGTCATTTGGAGTCACCGTCGACCACTTTAAAACGAATTTAGGTGCGTTGGACACTATCTTACTTGATCTGCGTTGTACTAGAAACGTGTCGGGTTCGAGAGTCGGTTACGGTCAAGGAATGATTAGCACCCTTGAACCGCCCTTTCGGTACCAATTAATTTGTCGGTTGTCTTAATTGTGAAAATTAAAATTTAAATTAAAACTTAAAATTCAATTTGAATTAATTACCTTTGATCGATTAAAAATATCCCTAAAAAGCCAAAATTATTAGATAAGGAATAATAATTAAATAAATGAAAGGAAATAAAATAAATAATAATAATAATAATATTAAAATAATAAAATAAAAAATATTAAATAAATCAAAAGGGAAAGAAAAAACAATAATAAAATAAAACAAAAGTAATAAAATAAATGAAATAAATAAAAAACTATAATAGATAAAGGACCATATGATGAATTTACCCAAAGATCAAAACCATTGTGTTTCTTTGGTTTCCATATTCCCACAAGAAGAATGCATTGAAATAAAAGCTCGCTCCAACATGTACAAGTCCCCTGCTTTGTCTTCTGGGAGCGTTGATGTAAAGCTAAGACCGAAGTCGATAAGGACGAGCTTATTAGTTCTATCTCTGATTAACATGTTTGACGTGGTAAGGTCACCGTGAACAAGTCCACAGTCGTGGAGTTTGCCTATTGCGTCGCCAATTTGGGTGGCTATATCGGCTAAACGTTCTTGAACAACGCTGTTTGACCCGAATTCGAGGAAAACGTTTTTTATGGAAGGCCCTTTCACGTACTCGTAAGTCAAGGTATGGAGCACAGGATCGACGGCGTAAAGAACTAGAGTCAAAACGCCCAACATGCATTTGAGGGAACGTTTTGATATTTCTATAAACCCCAAATGCATCGTCGATTAAACCCATCTGGGAAAATGAAATGATTAAGAATCCCAACACATTGAGAGTGAATTTCGATGTTTTTAATCTGTTAAGGGCGTTAAAAATTATGTGGCAAGCACGGTGGGGTTTCAAAGAGCTTTAGAGGGCTTCGAGTAGGAACTTTATCAAACACCTGGCGTTCGCGTAAAGTCCAGCGCCAGTTAAGACGTGGTACATGGCTGAGTAAGGCTCGAGATTCTTCAAAGGGTTTAACTTGTTGAGGGTTTCGGGTATTGAGGATATCCTTTGTGAGATTCAGATGAGGTGATGATGATGATGATGAGAAAAATGGTATTTTACAAAGATTTGAAGGGTATTTGGTGTAAAGAAATGACGATTGTTTACGCGGGAATAGCTTCAACATTGTTCAATAGAGAGGTTTACTGGTAAAATCATATAAGTTGAATTTGGTTCCATCTTTGACACAAATAGCAAACCAAATAAATTGGAATTCCAATTGTCTGGCCTACAGGAGCCATCAATCAAGCAATTGTATGCAAAAATGTTGGGCAAAACATCATACTTGAAAATACAAACGAAATAACTCATTGCTACTACCAATTCACCCATCTTACAAAGTCCATCAATCTGACGGTGAATCTGAGTCTGTATTCTGACTTTCAGATTTGGAGACAAGTTAGACGTTGACCTTGACCGTAATGTAGAAGGTTTGATGTTGAAATGTGGAAGACAAGTAGCTTTGGTCGATATTATCGTCGACATTTTCGAAGATGGAAGTGAGTTCCATCTCTCTCTCTTTTCCTCTTCAATTCCTTTTTGCTTTTCTCTCCCCCGCTTTCATCTCTGCTCTATTTTTGCCTCTCTTCTCCATCCCCCTAAAAGTCAGAAACTGATTTTAATAAGCAGAAAGCACTCCTACTTTCATTTAGAGAGAAACGTGCTAGGTGGTGGGTGGGGTTGGTAGTTAGGTGTTTAGTGGTTTAGTGGGTTGAACATGGGGTAGTGGAAGGTGGGTAATTGGGTAGTGTTTGAGTGGGTTTTTGTTTTCCAAGTGGGGTAAAAAAAATATTAATAAAAATATTAATAAAATAATAATAATAATTTACATAAATGTATATTTGTATGGTCAAAAAAGTGTGTCTACAGCTGCCCCTCTTTGCCCATAATCGTGTAACGGGTGTAGGGCAAAGATTAGAAGACACACTTTTCGTGAATGTATCCAAATTTAACACCATCCATTATAGGGATAAATTCCCATTTTTATCGAATATCCATAACTGGTTTGTTAATCCGGATTGAACCAAGAAATAACTCCCTCGTCGTGAGGTTGAGTCGAAACTGGAAAATTCTGAGCACAAAATCCTTCGTCGTGAAGTTGAAATCGGACTCAGAGTATTAGATAGTAGCTCTTGGATCGTCTTCTAGCCCAAGATACTTCATCGTGAAGGTGAGACTTGACCTGAATACTTTGGTGTTGCTGTGTTACAGATGACCCCTTTGTCGTGAAGTTGATTCAATCTGTTTGTGAAGTTGGAATCGTATAGGGCCCCTTCGTCGTGAAGTTGAACCTGAAATTGGATATCCTTCGTAGTGAAGTTGAAATCCATTGTAAGTTGCTTTGTTTCGAGGCCAATATCCTTCGCTGTGAAGTTGAAATTGACTCTGAAACTGGAAAGTTTATTGACAGACAATCCTTCTTTGAGTTTGATATCCTTCATCGTGAAGTTGAAATCCAATCTAGAGATGGATGCTGCTTGTGTTCCCTTCCTCGTGAAGTTGAAACTGCGGGTGGCCCCTTCGTCGTGAAGTTGAGCCTGAAATTGGATATCCTTCGTCGTGAAGTTGAAATCCAAGTAAGTTGTATTGTTTTGAGTCCAATATCCTCCGTCGTGGAGTTAAAATTGGTTCTGAAACTGGGAAGCCCCTTCGTCGTGAAGTTAAGCCTCAAATGGCACGATATCCTTCGTTGTGGAGTTGAAATCGTGGATGTGTGGGTGGACACGATTCCCTTCGCCGTGAAGTTGAAACCGTGGATGACCCCTTTATTGTGAAGTTTGGCTTCGAGCTAGATCCTTCATCCTGAAGTTGAAATATGCTCTCGAGCAAATTGTGTCATTTCAAGTCTAATATCCTTTGTTGTGAAGTTTAAATTGAATCTGAATGAAATTGAAAGTTGTTTGTTGACAGTCAGTCGCCCCTTCGCTATGAAGTTGAGCTTGTGTTGTCTCGAGTCTAATATCCTTCGTTATGAAGTTGAAATTGACTCTGAAATTTTTTTTGTTGACAGTCAGTCGCCCCTTCGCTGTAAAGTTGAGCTTGTGTTGTCTTGAGTCAAATATCATTCGGTGTGAAGTTGAAATTGACTCTGAATGAAACTGAAAAGTTATTTGTTGACAGTCAGTCGCCCCTTCGCTGTGAAGTTGAGCTTGTGTTGCCTCTAGTCTAATATCCTTCGCTGTGAAGTTGAAATTGACTCTGGATGAAACTAAAAATTTGTTTGTTTCGCCCCTTCGCTGTGAAGTTGAGCAACCACTATCAATTTCCGAATGCGTTTTTGAATCGAGTATCTTTCATCTTGAAGTTGAAGTTTGACTCTAAAAGCTTTAAAAAATTATGTGTGCAAAAAATGATAAATGTGATGCTCTTAAGTATGTCTAAGATGCATGTAACATGAATGAGTTATGTTTTATCTCTTGGATTGGAGTCCTGTGTTTTGTCTGCCAATCTGGTCCATAGAATCGATCGTGCCCCATTCTTTTTTCAAGCTTTGGCTTTACATACCTTTCATATCTGAGATTTTCTGTTTGAAAATGTTTTTCTCCTTTTTCTTGCTTTAGGAGGGAAAATGATAAAAATATTGTAAAATATTATTCGCAATTGAATCAAATTATAAACATGAGTTCAAAGTATATCAAAGGAATCAATAGCTCTTTTAATGCTTTCAGAGTTACAGCTCTTTGACAAATGTTCAAATGGATGAGTTGGCTTTAGGTCGACCTCCTTTCTAAGGTTTCGGTCATCCAAAATGTCATTTTTTGAAATATCGCAACATGTTTTTTTGGTTTGGCATTTTAATTGGGTACGGACAAAATGATGCAACTAGCATGATCAATTACTAGACCTTTTATTTTGGTCCTCTGAAAACTTCCATTTGTTCAAGTTTTGTAAGCTCCTCTAACAAAGGTAATGCATAAATATCGTCTAAAAATGAAATTCTTGAGTGCTCATGTGAATTTGACTATAACAGGTGTTCCTTAACTCCCTTAGTCCATTTTTACTGAAACTTCTTATTTAAATAAATTTAATTCGCCATTGTCTGGCTAGCTGAATCCATAAAGTCGGGGCGTTTAACCAATAGCTTTAGAGGGACAACTTAACATTATAATCAGTTTTATCAAGTTAACTGAAGGGTTCATCTCATTACAAAGTCTTCGGCCGGACAATAGCAGTGGAACAAACACTGAATTGCCAAGTGTTCGAGCAATGTCATGGTTTGAACGTAATCTACTCATAAGGCCAGGGCTTTCAAGTTTCCTCTATAACCAATTGCCTTAGCGGAATAGCTTAGTTTTACGGATTTAATTTCTTAAGATTGTCAAGAAGAACCTGTTATTGTCTAGGTGTTGTTGAAAGTCAAAAAATTCATCTTTAGAGTTCAATTTTCAAGCAACTTGCCTAAACTAGATTCACTTACTCAATTATTCCATCTGTAAAGATAATGATCATCATTGAACGTCTTAACAAAAAGTATAGTAATTATCATATGCAAATGATGCCCCATGTTGTCCACACCTTATGAAAGGAAAAGGTTACATTGGTTAATTGCAAGAGCAGGGTATGGTGTTTGAGTGTATATTCTGGGTAAGGTAAAAAGTCCTTGTTTTAAATCATGTTACTTTGTCAGAGATCTGTAACTTTGAACCATTTACATAGTTTCTTAATTCAGTTGATATTCAAAGAATTGCAAGTTTGCAAATGTGATTCATTGCTCGTCATCATTAAAGTAACATAAATTTATTCAAATGCTCTTACAAAAACTTGAGAAAAAATGAAAAAAAAAAACAAACTCAAACAGACTGCCTCAAATGATGAAATGGTCTTCCTCAGTTAGATGCCCCTGAGTTGTTGAAGTCGATCCAATTCTTGTTATGTATTTTCTGTACAATTCTCTTGAATGTGGAGTAGTTATCGATAGTGCGCCCTAGGATACCGCTATGATATTCGCAATGAGCGTTCTTATCATACTACCTGGGGTACGTGGGCTTCATGGATTTCTCTGGATATGGTGACACCACATGTGCGTCAAACAACTGTTGGTAAAGCTCCTTATATGTCACAGGATCGAAATGCTCTCATTTTTTATGAGATATGTGAACGTAATAAAAAAAGAGAAAAATAATGCGAAATATGCAGGAATGCATGATGCATGCAATGTTCAAGGCATTGATCCAAAAATGTGTCTATTATTAGAAATAATCCGTATCGGGGATAAAAGTGTTTTATCTTTTAAGACAAAAAAAATATCCGGACAGCTTCTGACATGTTGACTAGTCTTCTGCCTTCGTCTGTCACCGGTTGAATAACTTGTCGAACCGCTTTGGCTTCTATGGATGAACCGTGCAAATATTGAGTTACTTTTTGTATTGGCCCAAGAAGTCTCGAATGACTGCATCTTTGGCATTTATCTTTTATCAAACATGTTTTCAACGAATACATCATTTGAGCCCTCAATTGATAGGAACTATGTGAAGTTTATTTGTTTGTTTTTTGAATTCTTCAGCAATGGTCTCCAGTTTCAGCCATCGTTTTGCCATTGTTGTCTTTGAAGGGACTCCCAAGATTAGTAACCTTCATCTTGCCCCTGCAACCTCTGCTAGTCAGTTCTTCAAAGATAGACTTTTATTGTGCTTGATGCATACATGGTTCATTATGAGTCCTTTATAATGTAGTAAAATGATATACTCTTCAATTATGGGCACCACGTCTTCTGGATTGAATGTGACATATA